ACAAAAAATGCATTATTGAGGTGAGCTGTTGTGGCTTAAAAAGTAATTTGCTGAAATACGACAGTTAAAGATTGTTCAAAAAATTTTATGAACCAACTTTTGAATAGACTTTTGATCAGTTAACTGCAAACAGTAAGTATTCTGCGTAAAAGTAATACAGTTTTTGTTTGACTTTTCAAATTGGACAACAGAAATTTCAATAAAGTGTACTGTATAATTTTTAGAAAATGCTCATTATTTATTGTTTTGTACTGATACAATGTAAAAAAAAACCATCTTTTTTTTTTTTTTTTTGCCATCTTATTTATTTGAAAAGAGAAAATTTTTGTAAAAAACTACTTATTGACGCAGTAGAAAAAAAAAAAAAACTGTATTATCTATGTTTCAGTCTTTAAAAGTTTGAAAAAATTGGTAAAAGAAAAAAAAAAGAAACATTTGTAAGGTATACAATTTTTTACTTCAATCAAATAAATTTAATGATGGTTAACAGAAATTCCGATAAACTGTACTGCACAGTGAATTTATTGAATTTTCATTGGGGTTATATCAATAAATTATCAGTTGCAAAAAAGAATAGGTTTATAAATTTTCTAACTAAAACTATATATTGTATTGGTGATAAAATTCTCAAGTGTAGTTTGCTAATTGTTTGCGCCAGTTCCATATTGAATGCATAGGAATCTACAATTGAGCAAAAAAAAGTAAAAAAAAAACGGAATCATGCTTGTCGATCAACAGCATATAATAAGAGTAGAAAAAAAACGAAGAGGTTCTTTGGTCATGAATATCAAGGTCACTAAAAAAAAAAAAAGTAGATATTGGATGAAGAGTTGTACAAAAGAGTCAACGTCACTACTAAACTTCCTTCCTATTTTATTCAACAACATCAACAGGTCATCAACGCGCCTCACCAACAACTGTGTTCTGTTTCTCCAAAAACTGGGTAGTTTTTTTAGTTTTTGCTTTTTTGCTTTTTTGGCTTTTTTTTTCCTTTCCTTCTTCGTTCCAGAAACTGGAAAAAAAAAAATTACTGAAGTAATCTGTCTCTTTTTTTTTTTTCGATTGTTGCCTCCGAAAAAAAAGGACA